GCCAACGTCCAGCTTCAGCGTGAATCGTGCCATAACTCCATCCCTCGTGCTGCCATTTCACGGGGGAGGCGACTGCCGCGGCTGGTGACAACGCTGCTCACGGTTCAGCAGAAATGAATAATGTCACACATAGCAAAACGTAATTCGTCGTTTGCACAGGAAGCTCCCCAGATTGCTGAATGTATGTCACCCAGCACCGCCGGTTTCTGTCTCACGTCGCTGCCGAATCCTTGAAAACACTCTTCAGATTACTCCTGCACTTCAGGTACCGCTGGGCAGGGCTTCTGCCACCTCCCCCTGCTCCCCGGCAAGGTGAGCAATCGACCACGGAGCCTCCGAGAAGCTCGGCATTGGCGATGCTGGGTTGTCTGAAGGGAAGGAGGCAGCTTGTGGCAGCAGCGGGCCCAGCAGGCGCCGCTCCCCCACCACTACTCGGGCAGCATCGTGTTAAGGAGAGGAGAAAATTGTTTGGGATCAGCCTGCGCGCTCTGGAGTTAACGGGCGGTAACCTCGGTACAGCTTTGCTGTTGAACAATGGCATATTGTGGAATTTCAACCCAGTCACCTATTAAAAAATAAGTATTTCTGTGCATTTATCTGCTGTGTGTTGCTCGCTAAGTGCTTCCCAAGCGTGTCCCTGCGGCTTCCCGTGCCCACCCTGTGCCAGGCACCGGCAGCAGGGAGCCCCCTTCCACAGCCCGGCCCCGGCTCGGTCCCCGAGCGCAGAGGAAGGGCTTTGCAAATCACCTGACACACAAAACAGGAAAAACAAAAACAAACACAAAAAACAACACTTCGGTGTGTTGTGAGCTTGATTAATTCCCCTCCTCGTTTGGTTATTTTGGTGTGAAACCGAGTTCTGTTTGGGCCAGTCTCTCGCAGCATGCTCCAGCAGCTGTTTCTTCCGTCGCTCTTTGTTTCTTAATTTGCTGACAGCTTATTCCTAACCACCAGGCAGCAGGGAGGAGGCTCAGGAAACCGGCTTTTAGTCAGAAGAGCTGAGTCTTTGGTGCTTCAAAACTTAGGGAAATGTTTTGAACTTAGATAAATTCTCTCGTGCACCTGATAGTTAAAGGGACCTGAGCTGCTGCTCTCCCCTGGCCAAAGCTCGTTCCGTACAGCCGTGAAAGCAGAGGTAATAACAGTGCTCAGATCTAGATCACAAATGGCAAATTTTGCTAAATTAATGGGAATGGTCCAGAGGAGCAGTCCCGGAGTGCCATGGGGAGCCCGTCACCCTGTGGATCTGCAGATCAAAGAGCTGAATGAAACCTGCGCCCGGCGCATAGCTGTGGTGTCCTCTGTGTGGAGCTGCCAGGCTGACCGCGGCGGCTGTGGTTAGCAGAGCGCCAGCTGGCTTTGCAGCCGAGTGCTGAAACGCTCCGAGGTGCAGAGATAACGCAGGCTGCTCCTCCAGCTGCTGAGGACGGGCAGCGTGGCTCTGCTGGTCAGTGGGGACTGGCACGGGCCAAGGAAAGCTGCTCTTCCCCGACACAGGGCGTGCGCTCCTCATGTCCCCAGCCAGCACAGGACAAGTATCCGGGGAGTGTGGGGGGGACAATTCCAGCTTGCCCATGTAGAGGGGGGTCCATTCCTGCAGGATTCCCCAGGAGCTGCGTGAGCGTGCCCGTGGCAGCAGGCTCAGACTTCGGGACTCGCTCCACACCGCGTGGAGGAAGCGGCGCCCTCCTCACCCCACTGCTGAGCGCAGCAATAGCGAAACCGGGCTCCTGCAGCAGCTGGGGGCTGAGCTGCAGCCGTGGAAAATACTCGGGGCTGGGTTTGTGCCTGGGATCCTGAGCGTCTGCAGGTGATGCCCGGTGTGCCCAGGGGTGCTGCTGGCGCATGGATCCTCCTGGCAGTGTGGGGAAGGGGCACGCGCCCTTTGGGTCCATCCTGCTTGGGTGATTCCTCTGGGAATTGATGGATTGCCCCGTAAAATGCAGGGGGATGCCCCTGCGAAGCATGGAGGGAAGGCAACGCTCAGGTCCAGGGCGGCTGGATCTGCCCAGGGACGTGTGGCTGCTCCAGCTGCCGGTGGGCTCGGGCTTTCCAGGGGGCACCAGACAGACAGAAACACTCGGGGGGGCTCCCACCAGCCTCCTGCAGCCCTTCCTTACCCCTGCCCTAGCAGGTTGGTGGTGCTCACACTTAGCTTGTGCTCTCCTGACACCTACCACAAGCTGGGCACACTCGAAACAAAGGGAAAGGAAAAAAAGGCAGGTGGAGGATCCATCCTGTCTGCGACCTTCACTTCCTCCCTAGCCTTGGTGAGACGCAAGCAGCTGGAGGTGTTTGCCCCTCACTGGGGTGAAACCTTTCCAGCACCAACAGCCCCGTGCCAGCCACCGGGCTCAGAAGCAGCGAGCTGTGGCCTTGAATCCCACAGCCTGGTGCATCCCTGGCCTGGCTTTTCCCCGAATGAGGGCTGTTTTGACCCTAAAAAAACTCAGTGCCCAGACCCAAACCCCCTCTCTAAAGCACCGGGCTTATACAAGAGTTCGGTTGGTGTTATGACAGCGAGATCCTTATCGTCTGATATGCCGTAATTATGATAGGGCAGAGAGGAACTTGTTTGCCCCGTCGTGTCGAAACACGCTGCGTAACGCATGAGAAATCCCGGCAAGCCCTGCCCGGCGCTGAGCTGCATCCCGAGCATCCCGGCCACGCTCCGGCTCCCCCCAGGGAGCTCCAGGAGACGAGGGCGAGCGGTGACCCTGCCACCCCCACCTCCTTTTTGTCCCAATTCCAGGTCAGGCTGCTCCACGCCATCCCATCCAGCACCTCCCCAGGGTTCGAGGTGTCCCCCAAAAGCTGCAGGGTGCACGGGGAGGGCCACCTCCGCGCCTCCCCATGGGGCGGATGGAGAGGGGACACCTCTGGGTGCTCCCTGCACCCGGCCACGTGCCCGGCACCGGCACCACCGAGGGGCCTGAGGCAGTGGCTGCGACCCATGCGGTGGGGGCAGCGGGTTCACGTCACGCCTGATGCCCCCCCCCTCGGTACCCCGGGAGGGAAGCGGTGCCCCCCCGGGGAGCCTCGTGCCGCGCCGTCCCCTCGCCGGGGTTATATCTGGCGCCGCATTTGCATCGCAGCGAGCCGGCGCACCTGGGCGGCCGGCGAAATCCTCGGGGGAGCGAGAGTGCGGGGGGCAGCTGGCAGTCGTCACACGCAGGGGAAAGGAAAGTCCCGGCAGACGATTGTTTATAGCAGAGCCCGCTTCCCTCCCTGGGGCTGAGCCCCCACCCTGCGCCCGTGGTGGCTGGGGTGGGATGGGGACGATGCTCCGTGGCCAGGCCCTGGCTCCTTGGCCGCTGTTGGTGCCCCGGAGCCAGCTCACACCAGCTCCAGATTTGCCCTCCTGCTGCTCTGTCCCCCCCCTTCCCACATCAGCTGGAAGTGAGACTGGGTATGACCTTAGGGGGGGGGGGGAAAGGCCTGTGGACACCCCCAGCTCTGCTGCGAGGGGCTTTGGGGCTGATCCTGCACCCCCTCCTTGGGCTCTGCCCCACTGCTGCCTCCTCGGTGCCGGGGGCATCCCGTGGGTCCTGGCCTCCTTTTGTCCCATTCCCTGTGGCTCTGTGCTGCTGAGCTGCACCCAGGGGCCCCCCCTCGCTGCTCCCTGGGGCCAAATGCAGCCCCCCCCGTCCCTGCCCCCCGGAGCGGAGAAAGTTAGTCAAATCTGCAGAAACCGCAGCAGGGGGAGGCTGCGTCTCCGTCGCCGGCTTTGATGTCACCCCTGCACGTCCCGCAGGTGCTGCGCCGTTGCCATAACCACGGGGGGGCCGTTGTCCCCACGGCCGCTTTGTCATTAACTTGAGCGAGGTGTGTGTGTGTGTGTGTGACGGAGGGGGGTGGAAATCATGAAAAAAAAAAAAAAAAACCACATTTCCCCCTCCATCCTGTCCCCAGAGTGCCAGGAACCATCCGGACTCCGGGGGGGCCACGTGCGTGGCACAGGCCAGGACCCGGTGCCCGGTGCCCGGTGCTCAGGTGCTGAGGCTGCTGCCGGCCCCAGGGGGCTGCTGGTGGTTGGGGGCTTTTGGGGAGGGGGTTGCCCTGCGTGCCCCCACCCCGTGTGCATCCCTGCACCAGTCCTGCACCCGCCGGGAAGCGCGGTGGGAGCCAGGAAGGCTTCTGAGAAGCGCGGCGCTGAACCATGCCGGGGCCTCCCTGCGGTTTCCCCCTGCGCTCACCTCCCGGGCGCAGTCACGCCAAGCGCCCACACGCCAGCGCCCCGCGCCCAGGGTTGCTGCTTCCCCCCCCTTTTTTTTTTGCTACGTCCCCCCCCCCTCCCACCCCGTTCCCCTTCCCCGCTGTCCCAGCACCCAACCCCCGCCGTGCACGCTGCACCCACCCTGCACCCGCAGCTGCTCTGCACCAGCCCCTGCGCCGTGCACCCACCCTGCACCCTGCGGACGCGCTGTGCACCCCGTGCACCCAGCTCCCGGCCCTGCAGCAGCTCCTGCACCCTCTGCACCCAGCAGCCAGCCCGGCAGCGCGGTGTTGCAGCCCCCCTGGTGTCCCCCTCCTGATGTCCCAGTGCTGTGGGGCTCGGCACAGGATGGCACAGGGGGGTGGGCCAAGCTCCTCCATCGCCTGGGACCCCCGCACCAATTCCAACCCCATAACAGAGGCTGCGGGGAGGAGGTCACAGCCTCCACTGGTGGCTGAGGGAGGGTGGGGGGGTGGGGGTGTCGTGGCATCGCATGCCCAGGGGGTGTAGGGGCTGGGCAAGGAGAGCCAGGTGCCCCCAGGGGAAGGGGGTAGCGAGGCGAGGAGAGGTGGGGAGGGAGGGGGGGGGGGCAGCTGCCAGCCCTTCCCAGCCCCGTCACGGCCGCTGCACTCTCGGAGGAAGCCGCTGCGCTTTTTCACCCGGCGCTGGTTAAAAATACCACTCCCGATTTTAATACGGCCGCCGTGGGTGCTATTTCGGGGCCGGGAGCAGGAAGTGAAACCGCGCGGGTCCTGGCCCCGCTTGCCCCTCGCCACCGTGCAGCCCCCCCCACCCCGCCACCCCGGACACCTCCCGGACCACCCCTGGGGGCCCGCAGGCGTTATTTGAAGCCCAGCAGCCGGGCGCCCGCCTGCACCTTCTGGGCTTTCCAGCGCAGCAGGCGGATGGCGCGGAGGCCGAGCCGCAGCACGGCGTCAGTACTTGAAGACCAGTTTGTAGAAGGCGTCGGTCATCAGGGCACCGCTGGGGTCGGCGTGTTTCAGCGCGGCCATCGGCGTGTACGCAGCGTTGGTCTGGTGCCGGAAGGTGGCCGGGCCGCCTCGATCACCCGCAGCGTGTGCTGCACATGGGGATGTTACTGAACCCCTCCTGACCTCGTCACTCCCCTTGATCCATCCTTGTTTCCATCCCCAATCCCAGTCCCAGGCTTTCCTCAACCCTAGCCCATCATTCCCATTCCCACCCTTATCCCTATTTCCATCCCATTCCCATCCCCATCACCGCCGTCCCTATCCCCATCCCATCCCCATCATCTCCATCCCCAACCTATCCCCATTTCCACCCCATTCCCATCTCCATCCCATTCCCATCTCCTTCCCCATCCCATCCCCATTTCCATCCCATTCCCATCTCCATCCCTATCATCTCCATCCCCAACCTATCCCCATTTCCACCCCATTCCCATCCCATCCCCATTCCCATCCCATCCCCAGCAGGGCTCAGCCCCAGGGGACCTCAGGGTCAGGAAGGAGCCAGCCCAGCCGGTCCAGCTGTGATCACTGCTCCTCGTTAGCACTAATTGAGCTCTCACGGCCAGCCCAGCCCACCCGGGCAGGTGCGCCCATCACCTCCGCGATGTCCTCGGGGCTCTGCCCCAGGCTGGCGAAGACGTCCCTGGAGTTCCTCAGGTAGAGCTTGGTGAAGATCTCGGCAGTCTCGGGGTCAGTCTGCGAGTAGTCTGCGCGCTCAGCCTCCTCGTACACTTTGGCCTCAAACTCCGTCGTCACCGGCCCCGGCTCCACCAGGCTGATGCTGCCAGGGGAGGGGGCTCTGGGGATGCTGGTGGCTGAGCCCCCCCCTCCCTCAGCCCCTCCGCCCACCCCAGGCACTCACGCCACATTGAAGCGCAGCGCCTGCACCACCAGGCTCTCGCAGAAGCCCTCCACGGCGAACTTGGAGGCAGCGTAGACGTCGTTGAAGACGATGCCTGGGTGAGGAGGGGGTTGGTGGGGTTGTGCTGGCAGGGCAGGACCCCCCCTGGATGCCCGGTCCCCCCCGTACCCTGCAGCCCCATGACGCTGCTGATGACCACGATGTGGCCGCTGCGGCGCCGCTTCATGTCGGGCAGCACCTCCTTCACCAGGCGGACGAGGCCGAAGAAGTTGGTGTCCATCAGGCCCTGCATGGCGGCCAGGCTCTGGCACTCCAGGGGTCCGATCATCCCCACGCCGGCGTTGCTGACTGCGGGCAGCGGGGGCATCAGGACAGGGCAGGGGTCCCCGGTGTCCAGAGGGTGCCCAGCAGGGTGTCCCCACAGCACAGGGTGTCCTTGGCACAGGGTGTCCCCATGGCACAGGGTGTCCCCGTGGCACTGTCCCCGTGGCACTGTCCCCGTGGCACAGGGTGTCCCCATGGCACAGGGTGTCCCCTTGGCACAAGGTGTCCCCTTGGCACAGGGTGTACCCATGGCACAAGGTGTCCTTGGCACAGGGTGTCCCCTTGGCACTTGTCCCCATGGCACAGGGTGTCCCCATGGCACAAGGTGTCCTTGGCACAGGGTGTCCCCATAGCACAGGGTGTCTCCATGGCACAAGGTGTCCGCATGGCACAGGGTGTCCTTGGCACAAAGGGACCCCGGTGCGGTGTGTCCCTACCATGGAGGGTCCCCAGCGCATGGGGTACCCCTGGCCCAGAGCTCCCTGATGTGTGGGGTGTCCCTGGCACAGAGGATCCCCAGCACTGGGAGCATGGAAGGTCCCTGGAGCACGGAGGGTCCCCAGCGCATGGGGTAAGCACCACGCGGGGTGCTCCTGGTGCATGGGGTGACCCCAACACCTGAGAGTCCCTGGTGCACGGCACGTCCCCAAGACCCCACTGCTGCAGGGTGCCGGTGGGACACACGGGACCAGGGTCTGGGGCTCACCCAGGACATCGACGTGGCGCCCGGGGATGCTGTCGAGGCAGGCGCGGATGGAGCCCTCGTCGCACACGTCCAGCTGCTTGATCTCCAGCGTCCTGCCCAGCGCTGGCCCCGCCGCCGCCACCAGAGCCCCGCTCCGAGACACGTTCCTCACCGTGGCGATGACTGGGGGCACAGGGAGCTCAGTCCAGGTGCATGGACCCCCCCCCAAATCCCGGTGCAGGGACCCCTCCCATGGCTCACCTCGGAAGCGGCGCTGCTTGTCCCGTGCCAGGCGCACGGCCAGCGCCAGCCCGATGCCGGAGGAGCAGCCGGTGATCAGCACCGTCCTGGGAGCCATGGCTGGGGCCCTGGCCTCGCTCCCCAGCTCCAGGGCTTTAATAGCAGCTGGCCCGGCCCCGGCCCCCCCAAATCCCGGCCTTTAATCCCCCACTGTCCGCTATTAATCCCCCCCAACCCCCCCAGCCCAGGGATTTGTAGGGCCGCGTGGCTGAGCCGCACGTGGTGCCCAGGGCGCACAGAGGGGTCTTTGTGCGGGGTCCTGGGGCACTGCGGGGACACAGAGGGTGTGGGGACACTGCCAGCCACGCGCCTGGCCACAGAGGGGGTGGCAGGGACAGTCTCCCCCCCCCCCCCCAAACACCCCCTGGATGTGCACGGCTTCTGATTTGTTTGACCTGGGAGAGGGAGAAACGGCAGCTCTGAAAAAATAACCTTTATTCTCACTGGTATAAAACACATCACAGTTCAACTGGCCTTGTGGGGACATGGTGGGGGACATGGTGGGGACCCCCCCCCCCGCTCCCAAACCCTGCTCCTGTGGGGTGGGGGGAAGGGCTGCAGACCCCTGAACCCGCTGAGCCTCGGGGTGAGGGGTCTGCAGCCAGGGGTCCCAGTGGGGACGGAGGGGCCCGGCACCGGGAGGGGGGAGAAAGTGCATGAGTGTGGGGGCACCGGGGTGCGGGGGGCGCTGGGGGAGCCCCCTCACCCCTGAGCTCACTGCTCTGAGCTGTGCCCTCGTGTGCCGGCTGTGCCGTGCCAGCTACGCCGAACCACCAGCAGTGCCATGGGGTGCCGAGCCGTGCCGTGCCGAGGCGTGCTGGCGGTGCCGGGCTCAGAGCGCCACGCAGGTGCAGTAGTGCCGCAGCTTGCAGGGCAGGATGCCGCGGTTGATCTGGTGGAACTCCACGAGCTGGATGAGGTCGGCGAAGCGGGTCTGCCCATCGTCCATGGTGAAGTAGAGCCGTCCCTCCTCCTCGCTCTGCCGGGCAGGTGCAGCTCAGGCCTGGTCAGTGTCCCCCCCCCCCCAAAAAAAAACCCTCCCCAAACCACCCCCCGCTCCAGCCGCGGCACTCACCGGCAGGATGAGATAGTGCTTGACTTTCTGCAGGTGGCACAGGGACAGGACGAAGCCCTTGGGGTTGCGCTGGCTCTCCCGCACCAGGAACACGCTGCGAGCCCCGGAGCGGTGTCACCCCACAGCCCCGGGACTCCCGGTGACACCCCCAGGGTCCCCAATCCCCCCCCCCAACACCTTCTGGGGCTCTATCCCCCCACCCCCCATGCTCCCAGACCCCCTAACTCCCCTCCGAGCCCTATACGAGCTTTGGGACCCTATAACCCTCGGGGGCTGCATGTGCCCCAGGGGTCCCGTACCCCCCCAAACCCCCAGAGCCCCCCCGGTCCGTACCCATCCACCAGCCCCTGGCGGCCGATGAGCTGCTGGGTGTCCTCCCGCGAGATGCGCCCGTGGAACCAGGGCTGGGTGCGGTGGATGGCTGCGGGGACGGGAGAGGGGCATCAGGTGGGACCCCCCCGTAAGGCAGGGACCCCCGGCGGGGGGGTTCCGTGCCCCCCAACCCCATTCTGAGGCCCGTGGTGGGCTCTGCTCACCGGCGCTGAGCGGGGAGGTCTGGCAGGCAGCCGGCAGGCTGTAGCGGTGCGTCGTCTTCTTCTGGCCGTGCGAAGCAAAAAGCGGGTGTGAGTGGGTGGTGGGGGGGGGTTCCCCGCTCCCCCCAGCGCCCCCACTCACCCTCCAGGCCTGTGCCTCCTCCAGCGCCGCCGTCAGCACCTCGCTGGGGTTCTCGATCACCCGCCCCGTGCACCCCGAGAAGTCCATGGCCACCAGCGCGTTGTCCGACACGCTCCGCTGCGGGGACGGCGAGAGCGGGCTGGTGGCAGCTGGGGGGCCGGGGGGAGCCCCCCACGGCACAGGGGCTGTGCTGGGGGCCGGGGGGGCACTCACCAGGGCCGTGGGGCCGATCCAGGGGGGTTGGCTCAGCCGGGCCTGAGCTTGCTGGTAGTTACGGTAGAGCTGCATGCCGTACTGGGGGGGCGGCACCGTGAGTGGGGGGTCCCGTGGGACAGGGGGAGAGTGACCCCCACCCCCAAAAAAACAGGAATGGGGGCACCCCTCTGTGTCTGTGCTGGATCAGAGGGGGGGCATCCCACTGGCAGCCCCTCATCATGGGGGTATCAGCATCCTCCAGCATCCCCCAGTACCCCCCAGTACTCTCCAGCACCCCTCAGCACCCCCCGGACCCCATTACACTCCAAACCCCCGCTACAGGGACCCCAAGTACCCTCTTGGGGGGGCCGGGGCTCACCTTGAAGAGGCGGAAAGCCGCCATCCAGCAGGTCCGGCTCTGCTCGTCCTCGCTGCACAGCAGCTTCAGGCCCTTGGTGCCGCTGCGCACCTTGTAGGGCTGCGGGGAGAGGACAGAACCATCACAGGGCAGCCCCCCCGACCCCTCCCCGTGTCCCTGTCACCCCTTGGGGGGCAGAGACCCTTTGGCAGAGCTGGCTGGGGCGCCCAGAGAGGCCGCACCTTGATGCAGAAGCCGAACTCGGTGGGCGTCCCGTAGTGCTTCTTGCCCTGCGTCACGTAGTAGATGTTGGACTCGGTGAGGTCGGCGAAGTACTGCAGGTGCCGGGGGTCCTGGGGCCGGGGAGGGGGCGTCAGGAGCCGGCCCCCCCCCCGCTGCCCCCAAGGTCGGGGCACCCTGACCCACCCCTCACCTTGGACGTGCCCTTGGTGGAGTAGTAGAGCCCCGAGCGGCGCAGGGAGAAGTAGAAACGCTTCCAGACCTTGCGGCCGGCCTCACGCAGCTGCAGGAAGCCCTGGACCTCGGGGCAGCTCCCGGAGTTCAGGAAGTTCTGGGGGGGAGGCCAGGGCTGAGGGGTGGCCGGGCATGGTGGGGGCCCCATGGCACGGTTGGGTCCCCATGGTATGGTTGGGTCCCCATGGCACAGTCGGGTCCCCACATCACAGTTGGGTCCCTATGGCACGGTTGGGTCCCCATGGCACAGTTTTGTCCCCATGGCACAATCAGGTCCCCATGGCATGGTTAGGTCCCAACAGCATAGTTGGGTCCCCATGGCACAGTTTTGTCCCCAAGGCATGGTTGGGTCCCCACGGCGTGGTTGGGTCCCCATGGCACAATTTTGTCCCCATGGCACAGTTGGGTCCCCACGGCATGGTTGGGTCCCCATGGCACGGTTAGGTCCCAATGATACAGTTGGGTCTCCAAGGCACGGTTGGGTCCCCATGGCACAGTTTTGTCCCCATGGCACAATCAGGTCCCCATGGCACAGTTAGGTCCCAACGACACAGTTGTGTCCCCATGGCACGGTTGGGTCCCCAAAGCATGGTTGTGTCCCCATGGCACAATTTTGTCCCCATGGCACATTTGGGTCCCCACAACGCATCCTGGCACGGTGTCCCCATACCTGGATGAGCTCCGAGTGCGCCATGCTCTTGTTCGCCTCCAGGCAGCTGGACACCATCACCTCGGGGAAGAGCGACTGCTGGGGAGGACGAGCGGGGGGTCAGGGGGGGGCTCTGCGGCTCCCCACATGGGGCATCCAGGTCCCCCCCCCCTCCACGTACCGCGTTGCTCTTGAAGAGCTCGTACTTGGCGAAGTTCTTGCGGAAGACGAAGCGGCTGTCGGCGCCGAGGGGCCACGCGCTCTGCACCTCCACCACCGACTCGTGGTCCTCCAGGCAGCGCTCTGCGGGGTCGGGGGGGGGCTCAGCAGACGGCGGGGGCCAACCCCGTGCCGTGCCGTGCTGTGCCGAGCCGTGCCACGCACTCACCCAGGGCCAGGTGCTGGTGCAGCTCCACCAGGGCCCAGCTGTGGTCGTGCAGCGCGTGCGTCCTCTGCACCAGCATCTCGCAGAGCTGCCGCGCCGTGGTGCCCGCCGACACCTCCAGCGAGCGGCACGAGCCATCCTCGCTGAACACCTTCACCAGCTGTGCGAGGGGATGGGGGGGCCCTCAGGACCCCGTTACCCCACCGGGAACCCCCTCCCACCCCCAAGACCCCACTGCTGCCCCCCGGCACTCACGTGGCAGGTGCCTTCGCGAGGGGGTCCCTGGGGGAGGCTGCTGAGGATGGGCGAGTTGGAGGGGCTGCAGAGCTCGGGGAAGGGGTTGGGGATGCAGGGCAGCGACGAGGCGCGCGGCTCCTCCTCCGCCGGCGGCCGGCTGTGGGGTAGAAACGGGCTGAGCCCCCCCCCACCCGTGCCCCCCACCTGCCCCATGCCATGGGGCTGAGCCCCCCCCCACCCCTGCACCCACCTGCTGCCCTGGATGAAGAGGGGCTGCGAGCGCCTGAGGTCGGTGGCGGGCGGCCCCTCGCCCGCGTCCCCCTCCTGCTCCGTGCCGCCCACCCCGGGGGGCTCCCGGAGGCCGCTCTGCTGGGCCCCCCCGTCCATGGCATCATCTGGGGGGCAGAGAGTGGGGGCTGCAGCCGGTGCCACCAGGGGGATGCCCACCCTGGCACCCCCCCCACCCCACTGGGTGATGAGCGCTGTGAGTCAACGTGGGGGTGACGCAGCGTTGCCCTGCCTGCCCCCCCCCCGGGGGGACCCTGCCCACCCCCACAGGGGGTCTGCGAGCCCCCGGTGCCTCCGTCCGCATCCCGATGGCGTTGGCACCGCGAGCAGGGGACGCAGCCCTGTGGGGAGCACAGCCCCATACAAGACACCCAAGAATCCCCCCCCCAGCATCCCCACGCGGGATGGTGGCCCGGTGTCACCTGGTGGTGGGCAAACTGGGCTGAACTGGGCTAAACTGGGCTGAGCTGGGCGAGACTGGCTGAGCTGGATGAATTGGCCTGGGCTGAACTGGGCCGCAGCAAGGGGGTGCCAAGCGTGCCAAACCGTGCCAAACCGTGCCGTGCCGTGCCGGCGGAGCCTCCAGTTTGGCCCAGCCCCGCCACCACCTCGGGTCCGGCCAAACCAGTTCAGGCGGCCGCTCCCAGCTCCACCTCACCGCGCTGGCATCCGCGCCGGGGCGGCCGCGCCGGGGCCGGGGGCGAGGAGCCGGCGCCCGCCGTGGGAACGGCCCCCAACCCCCCCCCAGGGGCACGGCCCCCCGCCGCGCTGAGCCGCCCTCGCCCCCAGCTTGGTGCCCGGTGCCAGCACCCACGCGCCCCGGGTGCTCCGCTCGGGGGACGCGGGGACACGGCCAGCGCTCCAGATGCGCATGGCACGGTTTGGCACGGCTTGGCATGGCCTGGCATGGCCTGGCACGGCTTGGCACAGCCTGGCACGGCCTGGCACAGCTCGGCACGGCCGGGCACGCACTGCCCGGGACAGGCAGGGGCAAGCTGAGCCCGGCCGTGCCGGACGTGCACGCGGCACACGTAACACACGCGCGGTGCCCGCGGCCACAACCGGTGGCACCGGGAAGGGGGGCACTGGGGGGGACACAGGGGCCGTGCTCTCGCCGCCGTGCCACACCGGGGCCAGGTTAATCATTCACCCGGCCCCGTAAACACCTCCCGGCGGCGCGGGGTCCAAGTCCACAGCCAGGCGGGCACCGGGCCCCTGCCTGCAGGGTGCCAACGCGCCGAGGCGCTGAGGTGTACGGGGACACCGCTGTCCCCATCCCCGTCCCCATCCCTGTCCCCATCCCTGTCCCCATCCCCGTCACCACCCCGCTGCCTGGGGACCCTCCTCTGCATCCCCTCTCCCCAAAACGCAGCCAGGTCCCTGCCACCTCCCCGAGGTGGGGACATGGGGACGCAGCGAGGGTGCTGGAGGGGGTCCCGGCCACCCCAATCCATGCATGGGGTGTGAGGGCCAGGATGGAGGGGCTGGGGGGTAATGGGATGGTTGGGGACCCCACAGGGCCCTGTGGCACCACGGGTCACCTCGATGCCAGCCCTGCCTGGTGGCCTGGTCCCCATGGCCACGATGATGAGGTGACAGCAGTGGGGGGGACACGGGGTGTCCCTGGGGTCTGGGACAAACCGGGGGGACCAAGGCTTTGTCCTATGGGGCAGGGATCCCAAGGCCACCGGGGTTAAGGGGCAGGCTGTGAGGGCCACCAGGGTTATAGGGCAGGGTTCCCAACGTCACCGCTGTTAAGGGACAGGTTGCCAGGGCCACCAGGGTTAAAGGGATGGGATCCCAGGGCCACCGGGATGGAAGGGAGAGGGTCCCAGGGCCACCAGGGCTGCGGGGTGGTGGGACTGGGACCATTGGGGTTATAGGACCAGGTCCTGAGGTCACCAACACCATAGGACAGGGGTTCCAGGGCCACCAGGGTTTGGGGATGGGGTCTGAGGGCCACCAGGTTTAAGGGATGGGATCCCAAAGCCACCACCAATAGGGGATGGGGTCCGAGGCCCACCGAGGCTATGGGGATGGGGTCCCAGAGCCCCCAACCTGCGGGCAGAGACCCCAAAAACCCCCGGTGCCGTGGAACCGGGATCCCCGCGTCTCCGAGGCGTTGGCGGCGGAGGAGGAAGAAGAGGATCTGGGAGGAAGACGGGAAGGAAAGGACGGAAAAACGGGGCCGGGGGGGAGGACAGGGCCGGTAACCGGTGGTCTTAGGGTACGGGGACCCCCACCCCGATCCCGTTCCTACCTGCAGCGCCCGCCGCGTCCCGCCACCCTCCCGCCGGACCGGGCATTCCTGTTTTTCCCCCGGTTTTATCTACCTGCGCCAGCGCCCGCCCCCGGCCTGACATCACGGCACCGGGGCGGCCGCGGCCCCACGGCCCCCACCCGGCTTTTTGGGGGCGCCCCTCGCCCCCCCCCAAATCCCCCCCTAACTGGGGATGGCGAGTTTCCTACAAGGCACCCGGGTGACCCCAATACCAATGGGGTCCGGGTGTCCCGTGGCCCGCAGGGTGCTGGCTGTGCCCCACGGCACCGGGGGGCACCGGTGGGTGGGTGTGGGGGGGTCCCCAACCCCCGTGGGACCCCCGTCTGTGGGGCTGGAGAGTGGGGAGGGGGTCCCAGGGGGATGCGCGGGGGTCCCTGTGGGGGATTCAGGGGGGAGAGGGGCGCGGAGCATCCCCGTGGGTGTCTGTGGGGTCACGGTGGGGGGGTGTGGGTGGCCCCCGGGGGTCGGTGGGCACCCGTGGAGCTGGGGGGGTCCTCGTGGGGGGGGCTCCGTGGGGAATGGGGGGTCCCCATGGGGAAAAGGGGGTCCTCGTGGGGAAATGGGGGTCCTCGTGGGGAAAGGGGGTCGCCCCACGTGCTGTGGGGTGGCTGTGTCCTTTTGGGGTCCGTGCGCCCCCCCCGTGGGGTCCGCGCGTGGCCCCCCCGTGGGGTCCGTGAGCCCCTATAGGGCTGCGGGGGTCCCCATATGGGGGGGGCCCCATGGGCATAGTGGGTCGCCCCACATCCTGTGGGAGCCCCTATGGGGTGGAGGGGTCCCCGTGGGGTCTGCGTGTCCCCGTGGGGTCCCCGTGGGGTCCGTGGCTCTGTCCCCGGGGGGGGGGCTCGGGGGTCCCGGGGGGGTGCCGGGGGGGTCCCCTGAGGTCACGGAGGCTCCATAGGGGCCCCCAGAGGGGGATGGGGGGGTCTCGGGGGGGGATTCCGAGATCTGCGTGGGCTCCGTGGGGCTGCCGTGACTCGGGGGGGGGCCCCGTGGGCTGCGTGGGGGTCCCGGGGGGGTCCCGTGGGGGGGTCTCAGGGGGGACAGGGGGGGTTTGAGGGACCCTGTGGGACCTCAAGGCTCCCATAGGGCTCCCACGGGGCGTGGGGACCTGGGGGGGGGGCCCCGCGTGGACGCCCCCCCCCCGGTACCCCCGTGGGGTCTATGGGGGGGGGGGGGGGGCGGCAGCCGCGGTCCTCCAACCACCAGGGGGAGCAGACGAGACGGAGGCGTAGAGCGGCCGGAAGTGCCGGCGTCACGTGAGCGAACCCGGAAGCGGCAGCGGGCAGGGAGGGTGGCGATGAGCGGCGGGGCCGGGACGGCGGCGGCGGCGGCCGGGGACGGGGCCGGGGACAGCTCCGGTTCCGGTTCCGGTTCCGGTTCCGGTTCCGAGCAGCGGGTCTGCATCGTGGTGGAGTACTGGTGAGCGCCGGGACCGGAGGGGGGGGGGGAACGGGGCCTAAAGGGGGGGGATGGGGGCAGCGGGGGGGGGGCACCGGGGGGCTCTGAGGGGGGGGCGGCGGAACCGGGAGGGAACCGGGAGGGGGCCGAGGGGGTGGGGGGGGCGGGAGGGAGGAACGGGGGGGGAAAAAAGGGGTAAAAAGGGGGGGTACGGGGAGGGTTTGGGGGGGTTTAGAGGGGTTTTGGGGGGGTTTTGGGTTTTTTTTTGGGGTGGGGGCGGTGTTTGGGCCCCCCCCGCCATACCGGGCCCGTTGTTCCCCCCCCCCCCCAGCGAGCCGTGCGGGTTCGAGGCCACGTACCAGGAGCTGGCGAGCGCCGTGAGGGAGGAGTACCCCGACATCCACATCGAGTCCCGCCTGGGGGGCACCGGTGAGTGAGGGGGGGTCCCGAGGGGGGGGCATCAAACACGCCCCCCCCCCCACCCCGAGTCTTGGGGTCCCTGCAGGGAGCGGTGGCTGAGAGTCCCACAGGGCTTGGGGGGGATCCCTGGGGGGTGGAGGGGGTTGTGGGGGGGGCGCTGTGGGTCGTAGCCCTATTTGGGGGGGGGCACCAGGGTTTAAAATGGCTGAAAACGCCTTAAAATATTAAGGGGGGGGGGTTGTGCCCCGTTCCCACACGCGCTGAGGGAGGCAGGGACTGCCCCAGCCCCTCACTGGGTCCATGGGGTCCCAGCTTTGCCCCCCCTGTGGTGCACCGGGAGCTGCTGTAACCCCCCCGATGAAGGGGGGGGCACAGGCTCAGGGCTCGGCTCACCCCCCCCCCCATTTTTTAGGTGCCTTTGAGATCGAGATCAACGGGCAGCTGGTCTTCTCCAAGCTGGAGAACGGAGGCTTCCCCTACGAGAAGGACGTGAGTACCGCGGGGGTGAGGGCCTGGTGCCCCCCCCGGGGCTGTGTGGCTGCTGGGGGGGGAGCAAGGAGGCCCCCCCAGCCCCTGTTACCCACCCCCAGCCCTGTACCCCCCCCCCCTCTTTTTTTCTCTTTCCACAGCTGATCGAGGCGATCCGCAGAGCCCGCAATGGGGAGCCCCTGGAGAAGATCACCAACAGCCGCCCCCCCTGCGTCATCCTGTAGCCCCGCGCCCCCCCGGGGGGGTCATTTTTGACCCCCCCCTGCATTAACCAGCCGGTTCCCATCCCCTCGGCCCCCCCAGTTCTTCGCTGCCCCCCTCCTTCGTTACCTTCCTACACCCCTGGGGGGCATCGGGGGGGACGTGGGAGCGTAAGGAGCACCCCGGGGGGGCCACCAAGAGCAGCCGGGGGGGGTTGAGCTCCCCCCTCCTTGGTCCCTGGAGGTGTGGGGGCAATTCTGCAGCCCCCCCCCCCCACGCCGTGGGGCCGGAAGCCTCATGCCGTGGAGCTGTGAGCAGCTCGTTAATGATTAAAGCCCCTCAGTCACTAATTAAACAGGCACCAGGGTGGCGGGGGGGGGACAGGCATGGGAACCCCCCCCCAGGCTCCATCCCCACAGCCTGGGGGTCCGTTTAATGACCCCCCCACCCCATTCCCAGCCTCCTGCCCCCCTCACGGCTCCGTGCTCTGCCATGGGGTGGCCGAGCCGAGGTGCCCCCCCCTGTGGACCCCCCCTATTTATTCTATACTGTGTATAACCCCCCCCCGCCCCCCCAGCCCGGTGCTGAATAAAGGACGGAGGAGAACGTGACCCCATCCCCTGCATCCTTTGGGATTTCCCCCCCCCCCCCCAACCCCGCTGCTGGCTCCTGGGGGGGGTCACGGCTGCGGACAGACGGCGTTTTTGGGGTGGGGGGGGGGGCAAGCAGAGGGACAAACAGAGTAGAAAACCCAAAATACAATTCTCAAATCCACAGCCCCGGGGGGGGGGCTTCCAGCAGGAGCCCGGGGCCTGCTCTCAGTGCAAGTCGCTGTGCCCGGCGCCGCTTTGCACCGGGGGGGGGGGGGGTTATGGGGTCGTGGGGTCGCGGTTTTGGGGTTTTGGAAGAGTTTTGGGGAGCGGGGTGGCACCGTGCTCCCGCTGTCCCACCGCGGTGCTGCCAGCGCCGGCCCCGCTCGTCCCTTGGCATCCTCAGCCCTCGAGCTCCGCAGCCCGAGCCCCCAAATCCAGCGGGGTTTTTGGGGTCCCTTTTTTTTGGGGGGGTCCAGGAGGCAGCGGGGTGCCCCCTCTGCCTTCCCCCACGCTGCCACCGCGCTGTCCCACAGCGTCCTGGGGCTCTCCCCATTTCCGTCGCCTCCTCCCCGAGCTCTGCCAACGATTTGGGGGTCGGGGGGGGCTCTTTTGGGGTCCCGGCCCTACACGGCCGCATCCTCGGGGCGCAGGGGGGGCTCGGCCAGGCCCAGGTATTCGGGGTTTTCGGCTGCCGGCGTGGTGACGGGCCCCCCCTCGGGGCTGCTGCTTTTTTGGGGGTCCTGGTTCCAGTAGTAGGGGTTGTCGAAGGCTTGGCTGAAGGAACCAGGGGCCGGCAGCCCGGGGGGGGTCAGATATTCGGGATTTTCCACGGCGCGGCCAAAGGGTCCCGGGGGGGGGAAGGGGTGTTTGGGGTCCTTGATGAGCCCGTTCTTCCCCGCGTGGCTTTTGGGTTTCTCCAGCGGGGACGGGGGCGTGCGGGGGTGCCGGGGGGGGGACAGCCGCTCCCCGGCCTGGTTGACGTACTCTGCGGGGACAAAACGGGTGGGGTGAGGAGCCGAGCGGGGTCCTCGCCCCCCCCCACACCCCAAAAAATCCTGCCCCCTTCCTCCTACCTGGCATGGTGCTGCAGGGGGCCGGGGGGAGGAAGCCTTCGGGGTCCAAGCCCTCGCTCTCGTCACCCGACAGCCCGGTGGGGTCCTCGCTGTAGCGCGTGGCGGGGGGGCTCTGTAGGGTCCCTTTGGCCCCCCCCTCCCCATCCAAAACCTCCGGCACCGGCCCCTCGGGCCCCTCCACCAAAACCTGCTCCTCGCCCTCCTCCCCGTCCGCTGGGGTCTCCGCCGTGCTCTGGAGGCGCAAAACGGCAACGGCGTCGGCCAGGTGCCTTGGGGGGGGGTCACCCCCTGATTTCCCAGGGTTCTGGGTTCCCCCCCCCCAAAAAATAAACCCCCCCGAGGTACCCGCGTGGAGGAGATGCGGCTGCGGTAGGCGGTGGCGGTGTCGGCGCTGAAGAAGCCCTGGTGGGGCACCAGGTACTCCTCGGCGTCCACCAGGTCGTCCATGTCCTCCTCCTCCAGCAGAGCCCGGTAAAAAGTGCTGTCCATGGAGCTGGGCAGCCCGATCATGTCGTTCTGGGGGGGTAAAGGGGGGGGGTTTAATGTTTGTAGGGTCGCTGGGCACGGACTGGGGGGGGGATCCCCCCTGGGGGTCCCTACCTGGATGACCACGAAGCGCTGCGGGTCCCGCGCCATGCGGGAGAATTCGGTCACCAGCTCGCGGAATTTGGGCCGGCACTCCGAGTCGATCATCCAGCCTGGGGCAAAGCCAAACGCCGTCAGGGCGAGGCGGGGGTCCCACCGCATCCCCCCCCCGTCCCCGTGTCCCCCCCCCAAACCCGTACATTTCACCATGATCATGTAGACGTCGATGGTGCAGATGGGCGGCTGCGGCAACCTCTCGCCCTTCTCCAGCAGGTCGGGGATCTCCCGCGCCGGGATCCCGTCGTACGGTTTCGCCCCAAATGTCATCAGCTCCCACACGGTGACACCTGGGGGTGTAGGGGCAGGGTGAGAGGTGCCTTGCGCCCCCCCGAAAAGCCCCCCCAAAGCCGGCTCGGGGACGCACCGTAGCTCCAGACGTCGCTCTGGTGGGTGAAGCGGCGGCGCAGGATGGATTCCAGCGCCATCCACTTGATGGGCACCTGCGTGGGGGTGGGCGCAGAGGTCAGCAGGGGCCCGTGGGGGGGGGGCATGCCCCGTCCCGTCGTCCCTACACCCCCCCCCCCACCCACCTTGCCACCGTCAGCGTGGTACTCGGTCTCGTCGATGTCGAGCAGCCGGGCCAGCCCGAAATCGGTGATTTTCACGTGGTTGGGGCTCTTCACCAGCACGTTGCGAGCAGCCAGGTCGCGGTGCACCAAGCGCACCTCCTCCAGGTAGCTCATCCCCTGCAGCACCAGGGGGGGGTGGGGGTCAGCCTCCGGACCCCCCCCCTCCCCATTTTACCCCCTACCCCCTCCTCTATTTCCCATCCTACCTTGGCGATCTGCACACACCAGTTGAGGAGGTCCTGGGAGCCGATGTGGTCCTTGTTCTCCCGCACGTAGTCCAGCAGGCAGCCGTAGGGCATCAGCTGCGTCACCAGCTGCACCGTGGACGTCAGGCAGATGCCCAGCAGCCGGGACACGTAGGGGCTGCCCACCCCCGCCATCACGTAGGCTTCCTGTGCGTGCAGGGGGGGCCGTCAGCCTGCCACCGGGCTCTTGAGACCCCCTCCCCGTGCCCCCCCCGCCACCGTGCGCACTCACGTCCAGGATCTCCTTGTTGGCCTTGGGGGAGGTGTTCTCCCGCAACACCTTGATGGCCACCGGGATCTTGACGCTCTCCCCATCCGGGATCCAGATGCCCTGGAGAGGAGCTGGGTGAGCAGGGAGGAGGGAGCCTACCTGGGGTGCCCCCCCCCCAAAAAAAAAAAACTTCTCACCTTATAGACGGTGCCGAAAGCGCCCGAGCCCAAAACCTTCACCTTCTTCAGCTCCGTCTCCTTCAGGATGCGCATCTGGGCTTGGTTGGGGAGGGCCCCGCTGGGCGTCAGCGGCTCCACCAGCTTCAGGGAACAGGTGAGTAAATTGGGAAGGGGGGTGGACACAGGATGGATGGGCACCCCCCCCGGGATGTCCCCGTGTCCCCACCTCGGTCTCCTGCAGCAGGCGCCGCATGGTGTGCTTCCTCTCCTGCTGCCGCCGGCGCTTGACGCAGACCACGGTGATGAGCAGGAGGACAACGACCAGCAGAGCCCCCACCACGCCGGCGATGATGGACGTCACCTGGCTGCGGGACAGGAGGTGACAAGGTGGGGGGGGGGAAACGGGGACAGGAGGAGCCCCCCCTAAACACCCGGAGGGCTTGGGGGTACCCGCGGCGCTACCTCGGCTTCTGGTCCACGGGGCAGCCGTCCTCGTCCCGGATGGTGCACCTGGGGGCGGAGAGGGGTCAGCAAAAGACCCCCTCCCAGCCCCAAAAACCCGTGCCCGGCTGCAGCCCGCACTCACGAGTGGGTGCAGTTGGTGGGGCAGAGCTGGCAAACGCCGTCCTCGTCGGGGTATTTCCAGATGGGCACGAAGGAGGCGTCCGCCTTCACCCCGCTGGGGCAGCGCCGCACGCACTGCTGCGCGTCCTTGTAGTGGGCGCAAGCCACGCACTGATCCGCCTCCTGGGGGGCATGGAGGGCACAGGGGGGGTCAGGGACCTCGGCACCGGCTTGTCCTCGTGTCCCCGGTGTCCCCGTGTCCCCACGTCCCCA